ACTCTCACCAGTGATTTCAAGATGAGGGAGGAGACGTCAGTGGGGCTCTTCGGAGCGAGTCGACTGATGAGGTGATAGGGTCGCATATTCGACCCAATCCCTCAACCGTTTAGCAGTAACATGAGGAGTCAGAGGTAGGACTACTTGCTGTGCTCTAGAAGGAGGGTGAGTCTCCGACTGCTGGTCTTCAGAAGGAGGGGGGGGGGGGGGGGGGCTGGCTGAGGAGCTCGCTGGTAAAGGTTATGAGTTGATGTTGGAGAGATTAAGAAATCTACTGAGCCATTTCTTTAAGCTGAGATTGAGTAACGTAGCTCTTGTGTGGTTCTACAGGGTGAGATTAATCAGCCCTATGGTCAGAACAATACATGTTTTCTCAAAAAAGAAAGAAGGCCCCATGGTGGGCGCCAAACTGTTGTTGTTAAGTTACCAAACAGTCAAATATATGAGGGTGAGATTGATTAAGGGCCGCTTAGTTCTTCGAATATCTAGTTTTGAGTTTAGTTGCTTTAACTTTCACAAATAGAAACTCGTGAGAGGACGAGGCTTGGTTCCCCCTAAAGGAAATTCATGCTAATTACATGCAAATTACGCAACGGAAGACTATATATAATTATACTAAGCATGTAGAGAGCATGAAATACAAAATAGGACCATCCTAATTAAATCTAACATGATCCCTATATTAAAGAGAGCACACAAGAGTTAAAAAGTTATACTTTTGAAGCGTGATTCGATGGAAGATCGAATAACTTCTAGCTCTTGCTCCTTGTAGTAGTAAATCACTTCGTAGTGGATCTCCAAGTCTTCAAGTGAGCTTAATAAAATCGGAGTCTTCTTAAGACACAAGGCAATATATCCACCCCGGGATACTTTAAAATCCTACTACTTCCTCTTGCTCAAAGATTGCTAGAGTTTAGTAAGAGGAGGGCTCTCTTTTATTCTCTTATGGAAAAAGCCACTTAGCCAATTTTTCATTAACCTTTCCATAAGAAAGAGAGCTCATATATATAGAGTGAAATATGTCATGACTCACCTCATGAGTCATGCCATGAGTCATATAAATGTAATGATTCATTTCATGAGTCATGCAAAGAGTCATGAAGAATCAAAACTATGTGCTAAAACCATGTTCCCAAACCATACCATCTTAATGACTCATCTCATGACTCATTAATCAAGGTATAATAAAGTGTGTATTTCATAAATAAAAATACCACATCAATACAGTATTTCATAAATACGGTATTTCGTAATTTTCCAATCATTGATTAATAAGTCATCATATGACCAAAAAATCAATGAGTTAACCAAAAGTCAACTGTTGACCAAAAAGTCAACTAGTTGACTAAAAGTTAATTTTATAGGAAAAATACTGGAATTCATTTTCTAAGCACATAGTATTCTGATTTTAACGATATGCATAACCGTTTATGTGTATCCGGTAAAATCATATATGCATATCAATCATACACGCATCACTCTATAAATTGTGTTTCATAGGATTTAAGTACGCGCTTGGTGTGACTCTAGGGCCCAACTTAAGAACTTGGTAGTGGATGATATCCACAAGTACAACAGAGGTGCTAGCTACACATGAAGACTACCCGGGTATAAGTTGTGATAAATGTCTGCAAGATGCTAACACAATTTTATCAGGACCACTCAGTGATAAGATTGTACAGTCTGGTCTCTTCGTCAAACCATGTCAAACTATTGAGCCTAGGGTATGAAAAATTGCCAAACCCTAATAGCTCGATTAGTGTTTGTTGATATTAAACTCATAACCTATAAGATCAAACTGACACTCAGTTGATCTTATTTACCTCAACCAATAATTTACTGGCTATAGTTATATCAAACAATCTTATGACATCAACCCCTTATACTGGGAGAGACGAATCCCATCTTGGCATCTCAATATCTACTTATGTCTCGGGATGCACCCAACAAGAAATGTTATGCACAACTTATTAAGAACTATGGTTAGGTAAAAGTCTAAGTACACCTATACTGACATGTAAGATATTACACTCATGCCTCAGGTCAAGAGACTACTTATGTACTATATCACTTGAGAACTTCTATTTGACAGTTAAGTATAATTACCAACTAGATGTTCTCAGTGAGTCGTTCAGTCAACTCATTCACTAATGAGTCACCTGTTTACTATATCATGATGTCTCACATCAATGATCCAAGAGATGGATCATCATCTTACCAAATGAGAAATAGAGTATACACTAGTCTTCCCAAAGTGATGTTGTCCCATTTCAACACTTCATCGACTAGGAACATTTAAGAATATACGTTAACGATAAATCAGATCTCTTCATTACGATTATATCCGAAATGTCTGATAGTGTAGTATCATTCTAAGGATTATATCTGTATTTAAAAAATACCAGATAAATACTGACCAAAATAGTATTATATCATTTTGAACAAGGATGTTATATTCATATAGGTCCTGTTACAATATAAAATTATTGCCTGCAGGGCACCTATATCTAACACCCCCATTGTACCTCCGATGATCAAGTCAGTTAGTGAACTTGAGTGGGAAAATAAATAACTATTTGAGTTCTTTAGTGTAGTGCAGTATAATCTGCAAATATTGCTAGGAAAAGAAACCTTGGAAAAAGATCAGATTAGATTGGAAAAAAGATCCCTCCTATGTTGAGAATAGTACCTCTTATTTGTAGTGGAACTGGAAGGGTAGAACCGTAAATTCGGCCGAGCACAGGATGGCGGTAAGTAGGCATGGGTTGGTGCCTGCTTCAGCACCTACCTTACACATGCCGGTCGGTGAGTGGAGGAGAGATCACCTCAACATTAAATGAGAAGTGATCGGAGGCATGTCGGTGCTAACGTGGTCCGATGAGTCATGAAGACTATCAGGGCTAGAGGTATGATGCGTCTGCCAAGCATTAAATGTGATGCCGACGTGCTGTCAGTGGGAGAGGCTCGAGGCTAAAGTCGTCCTTTAGCTTTGCAGAGAAGTAACGCCTTTCAAGTCGACCTTGTGAGGCGTTGAATAACTGGTCTAGTAGGCTCGTGACGAGTCGTCTTCAACAAAAGGATTGACAAGTACCACCTTTCGTGTCGATCTAAAAAGATGTCAACTCGGCGGGTCGGCTAAGTCGAGATCCTTGATGGTTTTGACCGTCAATCTGACTTGAGCGGTGCATGTAGGGGTCGTACTTTGGCGACTGAAAACACCATAACAAGCATAGTGATATAGTCAATATTTGACATGGTATTTGAGCAATCCATGTTAAATTTTCGCTCTAGCTACAAAATTCTAAATGGTTTTTTTAAAAATTCTAAGCAGATTTAAAAAAATAAAAACGCTGCTTGAGTCCAAGTTTCTGCTCTAAAGGACCCTCAACCTGTGAGAGAGCATGTTAGAGAATAAAATTATAAACCTTACCATAACTACATAGTTTTGGTGTAGTGGCTTGATCATTTGATAGATATGATGAAAAAAAACTTTAGAATGATATTAGAGTAACATTTCACTTTAAGATATCACACACATAGTTAAAAGTGAATTAAAAAAAATATCGTTATGTAGAACAATCACGGTTGCCATTCATGAAACATGGCACATGTTAGGGTATAAAATTCCGATCCTCACCACAGTCAGAGAATGTTGATGTCGTGTAAGGAACTTTATAGTACTATCAAAGCATAAAACTCCATCGATCACATCTTTGTGATTTTAAACAAGGCTAAATATTAGAAAACCCCCCTTTAACTATCGATAATT